TTCCACCAAGGAAAACCAGGTGGTAGAGACAAGCTTGAACTTAAGATATTATCATCAGCTAGAACCAACAATACATAGCTAGACGGGACACACTTTCAGTCTGGTAAAGTAGACAATGCAATGTGCACCCAAAACATACATGCTAGGTAAAGGTAAAGGACCCCTGGACAGTTAAGTTCAGTCAAAGGCGACTTTGGGGTTGTGGCACTCATCTCACTTTCAGGCTGAGGGAGCTGGCATTTGTGCAAAGACAGATTTCCAGGTCATGTGGCCAGCAGGACTAAACCGTTTATGGCGCAACAGAACACCGTGATGGAAGCCAGAGTGCACAGAAATACCACAATGGTACCTATTTATATACTTGCACTGGTGTGCTTTTGAACTAGGTTGGCAGGAGCTGGGACAGAGCAACAGGAGCTCACTCAGTCGTGGGGATTCGAACTGCCAACCTTCCGATCAGCAAGGCCAAGAGGCTCAGTAGTTTAGACCACAGCACCACCCATGTCCCTGCTAGGTATACAGCCACAGGTCCCACATATGTGGGACTGTGCAGACATCACAGAGGTGGCAAAAAGATCTAGCAAAACCGCCAGCTGTGCTTTCTGTGCTCCCTGCTGCGGCTTTGATACTTACCACCTTTGCGACCAGATTGCATCATCATACGCCGCCGAACTGTATCAAAGGGATAAGAGGTCAGGCCAGCAACAGCAGTAACCGACTGAGCAATCATCCAGCTGATCAAGATGTGTGTGTTCTTTGGATCAGGAAGCATCCCTGCGAAGTGAAGAAATCAGAAATAAGGGGAAATGCTGTACTTGAGCATCCATACTTCCGAACTTTGAATGGGAAGCCATATAAAACTACCAAAAAGCCCCAGCAAAAGCCCAAGAAAATTACCTTTTGCAGTATCGTAGATACCAAAATAAGCAGCTCTGTAGATAATGATGCCTTGGACAGAGACGTTGAAGCCTTGGTACAGTCCCCGAAGGCCGTCCGACTTGAAGATTTTGACCAGGCAGTCTCCAAGCCCCTTGAATTCACGCTCAGCCCCAGCTTTTCCCACATCAGCCGCCAGACGGGTTCGGGCGAAGTCGAGAGGGTAGACAAAGCACAGAGAGGTAGCACCAGCAGCACCACCAGATGCCAAGTTTCCAGCAAAGTAACGCCAGAACTGGGTTCTTTTGTCGACGCCACCCAGGAAGATCTGCTTGTATTTGTCTTTGAAAGCAAAGTTGAGGGCTTGTGTGGGGAAGTATCTGATAACGTTGGCCAAGTTACCACGCCAGAAGGACAGGAAACCTTGCTCACGAGGGATCCGGACCACACAGTCCATGATGCCCTTGTATTGCTTGTCTGCTGTGATCTGCATACTCGCATGTTGCACCTGCCAAAATGGAAAGTGGACATTAAGTCTGGCTGCATAGTCAGTGACGTAATCCATAGCTAAGCCATAGCAAACCATAGCTGATGTTAACTATGGTTCATAAAAGTTAAAGGTACCCCTGACCGTTAGGTCCAGTCATGGACGATTCTGGGGTTGCGCGCTCATCTCACTCTATAGGCCAAGGGAGCCGGCGTTTGTCCACAAGACTAAGCCGCTTCTGGCGAACCAGAGCAGCGCATAGAAATGCCGTTTACCTTCCCGCAGGAGTGGTACCTATTTATCTACTTGCACTTGACGTGCATTCGAACTGCTAGGTGGCCAGGTGCTGGGACCAAACAACAGGAGCTCACCCAGTCAAGGGGATTTGAACTGCTGACCTTCCAATTGGCAAGCCCTAGGCTTTGTGGTTTAGACCACAGCGCCACCCGTGTCCCATACCATGGTTCATAAGCCATGGTTAAAACAGAGGTGTCTTGCAGACTATCATTTTAACCATGACTTGCTATGCCACAACTGGATTTATCTCTCTGTAGTCTTCTCCTTAGGCTCCTAAATACTATCCCAAAAACCCTTTCACTGTCAATGCCTCAATGTTCACAGGCAATGTGGCTCTTCCTGAGCTTAAGAAATCTAGCCTAGTTGCTCATTTTTCTCCAGAATATGGACCAAAGCTCTAACTTAGCCCAGGGCGGGGGGGGGGGGAAGGTCCTGTGGCCCTTCTAGATATATAAAGGTAAAGGTAAAGGGACCCCTGACTATTAGGTCCAGTTGTGACTGACTCTGGGGTTGTGGAACTCATCTCACTTTATTGGCGGAGGGAGCCAGCGTACAGCTTCTGGGTCATGTGGCCAGCATGACTAAGCCGCTTCTGGCGAACCAGAACAGCGCACGGAAATGCCATTTACCTTCCCGCCGGAGCGGTACCTATTTATCTACTTGCACTTTGACGTGCTTTCAAACTGCTAGGTTGGCAGGAGCACGGACCTAGCAACCGTCGACCTTCTGATCAGCAAGTCCTAGGCTCTGTGGTTTAACCCACAGCACCACCCACGTCCCTTTCTCTAGATATATAAAGTAAAGGTAAAGGGACCCCTGACCATTAGGTCCAGTCGTGGCCGACTCTGGGGTGGTGGCGCTCATCTCGCTTTATTGGCCAAGGGAGCTGGTGTACAGCTTCCGGGTCCTGTGGCCAGCATGACTAAGCTGCTTCTGGCGAACCAGAGCAGCGCACGGAAACGCCATTTCCCTTCCCACTGGAGCGGTACCTATTTATCTACTTGCACTTTGACGTGCTTTTGAACTGCTAGGTTGGCAGGAGCAGGGACCGAGCAATGGGAGCTCACCCCGTCATCCCCTCTAGATATATACTTAAACATATATTTTAAACAATAGAACAATCAGTATCAAGCTATGTGAGAAAACATAGTACATCATTCTTTACACACAGAATCAGAGTTGGAAGGGACCCTGACAATAATCTAGTTGAACCCCCTGCAATGCAAAAATATGCAGGTGTCCCATACAGGAATCAAACCTGCAACCTTAGCATTATCAGCACCATGCTGTAACCAACTGAGCTGTCCAGAGACACTGGAAGTTACACTTTAAATACTCAAATACAGGCACGTCACCCATGTAATAATGAAGATTAATATAACGGATGTTGTGCCGATAAATCTTTCCAGAGGAAGACTACTGGCTGCCACTTGAACTCCAACTCCCCTCATTCCCAACTGTTGGGCTGGGGGAGGCTGATGGGAATTGAAGTCCAATAACATCTAGAGAAGGGACGCAGGTGGCGCTGTGGGTTAAAGCCTCAGCACCTAGGACTTGCCGATCGAAAGGTCGGAGGTTCGAATCCCTGCGGCGGGGTGCGCTCCTGTCGTTCGGTCCCAGCGCCTGCCAACCTAGCAGTTCGAAAGCACCCCCGGGTGCAAGTAGATAAATAGGGACCGCTTACTAGCGGGAAGGTAAACGGTGTTCCGTGTGCTGCGCTGGCTTGCCAGAGCAGCAATGTCACGCTGGCCACGTGACCTGGAAGTGTCTGCGGACAGCACTGGCTCCCGGCCTATAGAGTGAGATGAGCGCACAACCCTAGAGTCTGGCAAGACTGGCCCGTATGGGCAGGGGTACCTTTACCTTTACCTTTAACATCTAGAGAGCCATAGGTTCCCGATGCCTGCTGTAACCGAATAAAGGGAGGTTATTGGGGAAACAGCACAGCAAGGCTCAAGTTAGAAGTATCAAGTTACAGGGCCTAAATCATTCTTTCTGACTCACAAGTACTTACAGCAAGCAGGGCCTGTGCATTTTTCTTCCACCATTTAGAACTACAGTGGTACCTTGGTTGTCAAATTTAATCCGTTCCGGGTGTCCATTCAACTCCCGGAACCGTTCGAAAACCAAGCTGTGGTTTCTGATTGGCTGCAGGAGCTTCCAGCACTTAATTGGAAGCCATGTCGGAAATTCGGCTTCCAAAAAACGTTTGCAAACCGGAACACTTACTTCCAGGTTTGCGGTGTTCAGGAGCCAAGCTGTTCAACAACCAAGGTACCACTGTACACACTGATGACTAAGAATTAAGTTGCAGTTTCATCTTTCCGGCCTATTGCAATAGGAGAAAGACCTTGAATGCCCCTTTTGTCCTTTCTAGGCACACTTGACCCAGGCCTAATCGCAAACCATCATTTTCAGACCTATGTTAACATAAAGTTTAAGTGCAGTTTATTGCCTCTGAGGCATGAAAGCAAGAGTGATCACCATGGACTCAAAGTAAGCTTCAGGAAAACACCAGGCCTTCAGGCAGAGATTAAACTTTAGCTTAACAAGACAAGAGAGAGGTAGGCTTAAAAAAAGAAGAATAGAATAGAATCTCAGTCCGATAAGAGAATCCTGTATCCTTGCTGAACCTAATGACTACCTGATAGGTCATTTCTCAAATCTGTATTCAGGCTCCATTCTATTTAGCCTCTGGCAAGATAGCCAGACAATGCCTGTAATCCAGCCAATGATAACTTCATTGCAAGGTGACCTCTTTTACAAGGAGTTGTGCCCAGATCATCGAGGTGTTCCAGATCTCATAAAGGCCCCAAGGTGTCCACAGGAGGGACTGGAAGGTGACACGACAAACCTGTGTCCCAAATAAAATGGCCAACACATCCCAATTTCCCATCTACAATCTGTGGCAACTGGCAGCTCTTGCAAGTACTCCTTAAGGAGCCTGATCTGGCCCTCCTGTCTCTAGTTGCAGACCCCTACCATAGGTACTTTCAATCCACCCACATGACCTTGACAGACCTTCTCTTGCTACAACACCCTAGTTTTTGGAAGGCAAGTTTAATTAAATTTTGACGTTTTACTCTCCCATATGCAGGGAGCCAATCTGTTGATGAAGCAACAAGAACACAAAGACCTGTCAGGTGGCCCATTTATGTAGCAAGACAGTTTCAACTTGGTGTCCATTAGAGATTTGCCTTCAAGGTCACCTGCCCAAACTTTGGGGTTGATTCTTTGAAATAAAACCCTCAGTAAGATTTTTATGGCCTTTTGAGTTTTTATCACAGGTTTTAGCACCATGTGCTATATGCCTCCTTCTCATTTACACAGCCAGGTAACTCCCAAGCTCCAAAGGGTCTCCACTTCAAAGACCTTGGGCTTTGCCCAAAAGCAATGGCACGTTGGAGGGGATGAAGTGCCACCTTCGTGCCTCCTCGAATTCTGAGGCGATGCTGCTTGGATGCAGCCACGTTGCCAAGTGGCAGGTTGCCCGCAACGGTAGCAGAGAGAAAGGCAACCCAGGCTCTCTGCGGGGACAGGCCGCGATTTACTCGCGTTGCCCTTCCTTGCCAGCCTCTCCTTCCCCCGCAACTAATCCAACGCCAGGCGGGGATTTGCATAAGCGGAACTAGTTTTCGCCAGCAGCAGCTCCGACGCAAACTGCCAACGAGCGTGGGGTTTCCTCCCCTTCGACATGCACGTTTAAAGGGAAGAAAAGAACTGCGTGTTCCTTTTGGTACGGGGGCGGGCAGAGGTCGACCGCTTGCCTCGGACCATCACCAAGGCCTGGGTCATAGGAGACCCCGATCACAAGCCTAGCATAGAATTTTAGGGCTGAACTTTGATGCCAGAGAAAGCTGCGGCCCACACTCTCTACCTGGGTCAGCAATAGCCTTTTTCCTGGGCAAGCGGCAGGGCAGGCGCAGAACTGAGGCTGGAAATCTAATTTTGTTGCTCTCTTGGGTTCAAAGGCAGGGAACAAAGGATGCTCCGGCCTGCATCTCCTTGGCGCGACCTTGGTGGGGAAGGTAGGGAAGAGAACCGCAGCTTTTTAAAAAAACTCCCTCGCATCTCCGAGGAGCTGGGATAAGCCACGAGGCCGCAGCGCTTCAGACAAAGGCAGAGCGCAGGATCAGCCTGTCGCGCCACAGCGCACGGAACGTCCCAGCGCAGTCTGGACAAAAGAGGCCTTTCAACTCAGTCGACCCGCCTATGACCTCTTTTGAGGAATCCCTGCCCGGCCCCCTCGTCGTCCCCAGCAGACGTCAAAGCCAGTGAGAGCCACTGCTTAAAAGATCCCCTTCTTTCTTCCCTCCACCCTCTCCAAATCGTTTCCACCGTTCTCCATCGAAAGGCGCGCGGTTCCACCCAGCCACACACCCACCCCGTGGTACCTGAAGAAGCAACTTGACTCTCTCGATGGGGGCTACCGCTGTCTTGGAGATCGCGGCTGCCACGCCGCCCGCCAAGAAATCTTTCATGAAAGAAATAGCCGCGTCAGTCATGATGCCGGTGGCAAGAAGGTTGAGCGCTCGGGAAAAAAGTGAAACAAAAACTGCTTTAAGATCCGATCGGAAGAGAAGACGTAGGGAGGGGAGATGGCTGCACACACGGAGATGGAAGGCAGGCTGCCGGCTCACTGAGACCGAGCAAATTAAATGGCCGGTTTTTATACCGCGCAGGCTTTAACGTGGGAACAGAGGGAGGGAGGGGAAACGCGGGCATCTACGTACAGCCGCTTCCCAGTGCCCTGATTGGACCCGAGCTGAAGGGAGGAACCGCAGAGAGAACTGCGGTGGCAATGTGTGAGGGTGGGGGAGTTCTGTGCTCCTTCCTCTTGAGGGACCCTTGGCAGCCAGGGAGGGGGTGGGCCTTGGCTGCCTATGATGCCTTAATACAAGGAAGCCCCGATCCTAAGTTGCCAAGGCTTGCAGAGGATGGGGCGCATTGGGAGAAGCGCGCGATGGAGATTGGCTATAACCTTGGAAGGAGGGGGCAGGGCTTCGCTTACGGAACGATGTGGGGTGGGTTTGCACCTGGGTGACGTGCGATGACACAGACGGGGTGTTCCCCAGGCAACCTCAGGAAGGAACAGGCTGTGTGTCCTTAAATGCATTTTCTGGCTGACAGCAGCAAGGTGGAATCGGTGTCCTTCAATAAGAACAGCCCTACTGGGGCAGGGACAAATGGGGCTCGTGAGAGCCACTGCTTAAAAGATCCTGTCTTCTGCCCTACCAGCCCCAATAGGTGCCAGGCAGCCACCAATGCACTCTGATGATGCCTTCTGCTTGCATGGATGGACAGAAGGACATTTGTGTGTCTAGAAACTAGGTAACATTTACATTCATTGCTTTGCCTATGGACCTTCCCATACCAGGCATGTGGCCCTAGGAATGTTGCCCAGAAAGGACTGGGGCACCCTTGGTGTGAAGGAAGTTCCCTGCACCTTGCTAGGGTCTGGCCTGCCTACAAGAACCCATTTCAGTAATAGTGAGACTTCCAATAAAATTGATCCTTCTGTTCTGCACAGATGCAAAAGACATTTGCAGCATTCCTGTTCCTCTTTAGTATATATGTAGAAGTGGGGATTTTGGCAAAGCTGGCTTCTTCTATCCTTGTATGACATAATTCCCTCTTCTTTGCACATATGAATATGAGAGAGAACTGGGACAAAGCAGCATTGCAACTCTTTAACCACATCACCATTTTGCACTTTTTTCCACCCTGGAAAAAGGTAAGTTTAATATCAAATACACCTTGGTAAAGTGAAACAAGGACTGTTATTGCAAGTGTTTCAACAGCAATTGTTGACAGCAGTGTGCATGTGCTCACAACTAAAATGACAACAAGGGTACACAGAGCCACAATTCCACACACACACACATACACCCACACACCCTCCCCAGAGACTCACTTTTGTTAGTACACCTGCATTCCATGTGCCTGAGAGCCAGAATGGTTTGTCATACATTTTGGTTTGCCGTTTATAAAGTGCACAGTCACTGGTTTTGTGAGGTTTTCTAGGAATCACAGAGAGACCCAGCAGTGGGTTTTCCCTGCATTGCATTGAGGTCACAGTCCACCAGAAAATTCTGCAGTCCCCGTAGCCAGAAGCATAATGTAGCAAAGTTTGCTTTGTGCAGTGCCACTTCAGAATTCAAGTGGCACCCAGCATTGTGTTATGTAAATATTCACCCTCCCAAAATAAACTTTGTACCTGTGGAAACCTTGCATTTATCAGACAGGCTCCCAATCTAATCTCCCTGTGCTGGTTTCTTATGAGTAGGGAATTCTGATGTGGAGAAGCACTCCCATCATGTCATCTCACTACTCTCCATCAACACCTCCATACTTAACTTATCCATACATACTTATCACATACATCATGAACAGGGAATCTTTTTGGCCTGGTGGCCCCCTATAGGTCAGCTTTGACAGGTGGGCAGGGCAACCCCACCTGTGAACCACCTAATGTATTTCCCCAAAGACATGCAGCACCAAATGTCAATTTTGTCTGATTTTTGATTATTCTTTGCATGTGCTTTTTTTACTTTTCAAAAACAGTTCAGTATTTTCAGTGCATGCAAGTAAAAACACCTGATTTCTCACTTTGGCATTCTCCCTCCCAAAAGATGTTGAAGTGGTTCTTTCTCCTCCCTGCCGATAAGACTTTGCATCCCTGCTAGGATTCCAGTCACATCATCAGTATAGGCCGTGCATGTACAACCTGAGATTCAATGTGCTGAATGCAGCCCACCTTCCATATATGATGGCCTGCAAAGGTTCAATAGACTTTGTTTTTGCTGCCTCTCTGGGGCCTCTACATACAGCAGGGGCCTCTGAGGTCTACATACATAGCAGAATAAGGTGGTAAAATGAACAGAAAGGGCTATCATTTCAAAGGGGGTGGTGGGACCACAAATGCCAGTGCTCCCTTATATCAAAAAGCTATTTGGAGTCAGAAAAAAATAGAACAGCAAGGAGGGGTCTGGAATAGAACTTTTCTTCTTGTTGTGTTATGTTGCGGTGGAGTGAACTATGGGAGAGCAATAAAAAAAAAGCATACACCCCCACTTTCAGTCTTGAGTGTTATAGTCCATTCTGTCATCTCATTCTGCTGGACGTATAGTTTGAGATAACAGGCTTGCTCAGCTCAGGGAACCAGCAGGCTGGATCCCTAATTCCTCATCCCTCTGTTGTTACAGCTGATTGGTAATTAACATCAGCCTCCTTTGAAGATGTGTCTCCATGGCAGTTTGCTGTAACTAATGATCAGGGAGCCTCTTTGAAGTCTGTTTGGAGCAGGGGTAGGGAACAACCACCTGCAAGGCCACTTCCCCCAAAACTGTGCCCACCCGTCCATCAGCAGACGTCAGCTGATAGCTGATAGTCAGGAGGGCAGAGTTAAATCCTGAACCGGTGTGCAGCCAAACGGAGCAGGATTTAACTGCCACTCATCAGTTGATGAACAGGGTTAAATCCTGCTCAGTTTGGCAGGATTCCATGCAAACCCTTTCCTGATTCAGGGAGGGGTTTGCAAGGAAACCCAAGAACACGAAAGACGCCCTGCCCTCTGTTTTAGCAGTGCCTTGCAAGGTGCTTTGAAGTCCTGACTTTGGGACTTCAAAGCACCTTACACCTGACGCCATTGTGGCATCCTGTGATTGACAAGTGGGCAGTCGTCTGCTCCACACTTGATGCCACTTGTGGCCACAGGCTGGAGGTTCTCTACTGCACGGCAGATCACAATCAATATTGGGTGCGCTCCATTGGCTTAGTGGCCCATTCAGTAGTTCGGGCCTAGTTTTATCAATAAGAGGCATTTTAAGGAAAAAGTCACATGCTGTTAAACTGAGGACTAGTTAGCTGGTAGTAAACCACAGTGTCTTATTTTGCAGCGTTGACCTAGTATTGCTTTGCAGAAAATGCATCCTGAGGCTTAAAAGCTTCTTCTTCCAAGTAGTTTAAATTCTTGCAGTTCTTTAGGCTTTAAACTCTGGTCCACACCTGGAGTTAGCTTGTAGGTCAGAGGGGAATCAATGTAACCATTTCGATACAGGCAGACGCGACGACAGAATTCAAAAGTGCTGAACATGACTCCAAAATAAGGAACAATCTGTTTAGAAAGCAAGCAAACGGAAAAACATAAATAGTCACATATTTTAATTATCCAGGCTTCAAGCCTACTATGGGGGCAAAGCCTGAGCATGTTTATTAATCGAGAGGCAGTGTGGTGCAGTGGTTAGAATGGTGGACCATTAGAACTGGGAGACCTGGGTTCAAATCCCCACTCACTGGGTGACTGCAGGCCAGTCATCTTAGATCAGACTAACCTGATCTAGAAATCAGGAATATAAAACAGGGAAGGAGAGAACCCTGAAAACCACCCTGAGGTTATATAAAGATGGATCTACAAAGAATGGCAGCTTTAAAAAACTGCATGCAATCCTCAACTTCCACCAACACCTCATGGTTAAATTCTGGAAGGAGGAAAAAAGAATAAATTTCTAATTAGGAGCACAATAAATCAGACCTCCAGTGGTATTGAACAACAGGTGCTTTAGTACGTACCCTGAGTAAGTTAGCGGTGAGTCCATTCCAAAGGGCGAGCACCCCTTTTGTCTTCACCGTTTGCTTAAAACAGTCCACCATGCCTGCAAAATGGACATCAACCCCTCCGTGGTGTGGGAGGCAAGGACTCTGAGCCTGCTCGAGAGAGAACACATCACTATTTTAAAGGAGGAAAAGAAGTCCCTGTTGTTCTGAAATCCTTTTAGCAGAAGCCTATCCATGTCTGCTTTAAAGTAAGTCCTAGTCAGGTTAGTGGGGAAGTGGGGTTATGGTTGCAGCCTAAGGTCACTTCTGGGTGCCCTACCTCTTGAGCATTCATCCGAATTTGATTGCACAAAGTTTGCAGGGAGGTTATGCGATGGATTGAACATTTGTTCTGATTTGTTTGAGCAGAGCAAAGCAAGTCTTATCCCACATTTTATCATCACTTCCTTTGTTGCAGAAAGGGAAGTGGGTTTGCAGTGCAAGAGCACCAGTATGGCTGCAGTTGCACAAGCTGCATTTGCTGGTATGTGACTGAATCCCACCCCAAAACAGCGATGGTTTTCAAGTGCCCTTAAGTCACCAACACTGCACTCTGATGCATGTCTACTCAGAAGCAAGTTGTGCTGTTTTCCATGGGGCTTACTCTTACTTAAGTGCACGTAAGAATGCAGCCTAGCACTAAATATATATATATACAGAATATCTGCACAGAAGTCCCATTGAATTAAATGGGCCTTACACTTCCGCATTAAGTGCACAGAGGAGATTGCAGTCTTAGTATTGCTGCTGCCTTACTTTATTGTAATAAACATAATATCCAGGCTTTTGAATTTCAGACTTGCACCAATGCAAAGACAAGGAGAGGAGACTGGGGGAGGGGCGGGTTCCATTCTGCACAGCAGTTTCCCTGATCTTTGCCACTTTGCCTAAACCATGGGTGGCGGCAAACCCACAGCTCTCCAAACGTTAAAAAGGTAAAGGGACCCCTGACCGTTAAGTCCAGTTGCAGACGACTTTGGGGTTGCAGCGCTCATTTCGCTTTACTGGCCGAGGGAGCCAGTGTTTGTACGCAGACAGCTTCCAGGTCATGTGGCCAGTATGACTAAGCTGCTTCTGGTGAACCAGAGAAACGCACGGAAATGCCATTTACCTTCACACCACAGTGTTACCTATTTATCTACTTGCACTTTTTTGGGGTGCTTTTGAACTGCTAGGTTGGCAGGAGCAGGGACCGAGCAATGGGAGCTCACCCCATCGCGGGGATTCGAACCACCGACCTTCCGATCGGCAAGCCCTAGGCTCTGTGGTTTAGACCACAGCACCACCCACGTCCCTTCTCCAAATGTTACTGGACTCCAATTATTACAGATCATAGGAAGCTGCTGTATCAAACCACTGGTCCAAGTATTTCAGTCTTGTCTACACCAGAGGTGGGAAACTGGTGTCCTCCAGATGTTGTTGGACTACAACTCCCAGCATCTCTGGCCATTAGACCTGCTGGCTAGGGCTGAGGGGAGCTTGAGTCCATCAGCATCTGGGGGATTTTTGGTTCTCTGTCTCTGCACCAACTGGCATTCCCAGCTCTACCCAGAGATTTAACATGGGTCCCTTTATGTGCAAAGCATATGCTCTGTCACTGAGATATAGCCCTTCATGGGCTGTATTGGCTGCAGATGATGGGAGCTGGAGTCCAATGTTTGGAGGACCATAGGTTCCCACCCTTGGTCTAAATTACACAGACACATGAAAAATACAATGCCAAGCAATTCCATACTATTCACTTATAAACTCATCTGCTAAGTGTGCTTTTAACCTAAAGTATAATTTTGTACACACCTTTTGTACACACAAAAAGTATACTTTTTTGTATACACCTTGCCGACAAAGGTCCGTATAGTTCAAGCTATGGTTTTCCCAGTGGTGATATGTGGAAGTGAGAGCTGGACCATAAAGAAGGCTGATCGCCAAAGAATTGATGCTTTTGAATTATGGTGCTGGAGGAGACTCTTGAGAGTCCCATGGACTGCAAGGAGATCAAACCTATCCATTCTTAAAGAAATCAGCCCTGAGTGGTCACTGGAAGGACAGATCCTGAAGCTGAGGCTCCAATACTCTGGCCACCTCATGAGAAGAGAAGACTCCCTGGAAGACCCTGATGCTGGGAAAGATTGAGGGCACAAGGAGAGGGGGACGACAGAGGACAAGATGGTTGGACAGTGTTCTCAAAGCTACCAACATGAGTTTGACCAAACTGCGGGAGGCAGTGGAAGACAGGAGTGCCTGGCGTGCTCTGGTCCAGGGGGTCACGAAGAGTCAGACACAACTAAATGACTAAACAACAACAACAACATACTTTTGTCATTCATTCATTCATTCATTCCTGCTAGTATTCTACATTGAACAGCTACATTATCATGGAGTAATTCAAGACATGTTTGCTTTCAAGTCTCACTGATTTCAATGGGGAAAACGTGTTAGGAAGCGTGTTTAGAATTGCAGGCCTACAGCGCAATCCGATACATGTCTGGTCAGGGATCCTCCAGATGACCTATTTATTCAGCATTCATCCCAATTTGCTTGCACAAAATTTATCCAGTGGTCAGGCTAGGTCCAGTCTTCATTGAGCACTTGCTCCGATTTATTTATGGGATGGGTTCTAGAGCAATAAGCACTTGTTCTGTTTTGTTTGGAGGGTCTTTACATGTCTTCCGTTCTTTTACACACTCTTAAGTGCATTTCCCCATAACTTTCCTAACAGCAAAGAGTCTTTCTCTCTCTGTGTGTATATGTGTTTAAGTAGAATTGGACTGCAACTCCAGTCCAATTCTATCAACCCCAGTCAGCATGGCCAAGAGCAAGGGATGATGGGAGTTGTAGTCCAGCAACATTTGGAGGGTCATAGGTTAGCCACTTCTGCTTTAGTTATTTAATTAATTGCTTGCTTATACCACACTGGCAATACTCTTGGGACATATGCCTGTGCCCTGGCTCCGGTTTGGAAATCACTGCTCCAGCCACAGTGAAGGGAAATGACAACAAGTTCTGTGCTTCCAGCAAGGGAATTCTGCATCTCACTCTCTCTCTGGCTTAGTTCCCAGATAAATGTTATGCTAAGCGATGTCTGCAAGGCACTGTGTGAGATATCCGCCAAGACCTACAAGTTAAGCCATAAGGGCAGAGCTCATTTCCTTTTCTCATTCTTCAGCATTAGAGAGAATTTGCAAGAAATTTTGAAAGTACAAAGAGACACTAGTGCTGCAGGTTCAGCTCGGAAACTGTCTTTCACCATAGAGGAAACAAGTTCGTTTTCTTACAATGAATTAGGACTGGTTTAAACTCAAGAAGAATGAGTCAACAGGATAAATCACACCACTTTGGACTGCAGGATAAAAACTTCTTGCAAACAGAATACCAGAACTGCAGATTAAATTCACAGATGTGTTACATTTCTGCTTGCAGGGCCTTAAAACAACAAAATGGCAGCATTCAAAAGTAGTATCTTCAACTTGCAACCTAAGTAGTACAAGCAATTCAAACCCCTGCCTCATTACCATTTCCTTCTGTTGCATCTGCAGACCAAGCCTCAGTCCTGCAGATTTCTGTGCAGGAATGCTTGCAACCTACCTAGGTTACGTTTAAATCCACATGTTAACACTAGCACACCAGAGATTCAATTACCCAGACATATCTGGAGGGTTCACAAGGAGAAAGCATTCTCTGTGCCCCATGTTCTGTGTTAAATCAGACCTCAGACAGCTTCTTAACAGTGATAAGCCTAAAGTGATCCTCTCTGTCGGAGGGATGCCTTGTGATGATACATGAGATGCTCCCACTCTCATATTTTAAGTTCTTGGCTGCTTCACTCTGTTTACTGAAAGATGAACCCTCCAGGACATGTTTCCGCTACAGAGAAGCACTCTTCAACTGGACAGAAGTGTTTTGATTGGATTTACTATCTGCTTATTAATTGATTAATGGATTGAATAATTTTTTTTTAAATCCCCTTCACCATGGCCTCAATATAAGTCCCTTTACTTCCAAAGCAAGGTTAAAACACCCCCCACTAATATCCCATAAGTAAATAAAACAATAATGCAACTAATACATGCACTAATATATATATATATATATATATATATATATATATATATATATGCCCAAACCCAATAATTCTTTGAAATTATATTTTCAGTGAGAAAGCCAAGGAGTGCGGTATGTGCCAGCCTTGCTAATAAGGGATTAGGAAAAGAAGTGGCGCAGAACTACTCGGGGCGTTTATTTCTCTTAATCTGAAATCTAAAATAAGAACACAGAATCCTTTCAAGGGCTAGGTTAACACGGACGATTGGGGATATCTAAATACTTCCAGGCTGAATGAAGCCCAACCTCAAATCTAGCAGCCCTCAGTCGAAGCTTCAATGAAGCACTTGAGATTCTGTTTGTCTGGGGACGTGCTTATTCCTTTTGCCCAAAGGAAGGGCCTGGGAAACTGACACAGTTATATCCCTAGAGGGAAACAGTTTTGGAATCAGGCACGGTTTCTGCATTGGACTAGGTTGGGACAATAGGACTCTCTGCTGGTGGTGGATTAATTCAGGCATCCAATGGGGGTTTGTTTACAATACATACATCAAAAGTTGATACTACTTCCTTTGCTGGTTAATACTGGGGTGTCCAGAAAGAACGGGGCTTTTAATAGCACTGCAAAAGAGGGGGATTTTGTGCACCTGGTAAAATGATGTTTCCTACATAAAGGTGTAAGAGCACCAGGCCACCCAAGGTGAGAACAAGGTCTGGGGTTGCCAGATATCAGAATCTGATCTAATGTTTCAGGATTCTGTTCTGAGGTTCCAATCCTCCTTCTGAGGATATCTGTTTTTAGCTATCACAGCCAAGTGGTAGACTTGTACTCCTCCCAATAAATCATTCCTATAAACACTTACCAGGGAGAACACAGTGGGGCTTGCTTCTGAGTAGACATCTATAGGACTGTGCTATGAAAGTCACTGGAGCTAATGGCCAGTGCCAGATCTCGGGGTGGCGAATTCCATTGTAGGAAGACCAGATGCCAAAGTGGGCATATCTCCATATTCAGGGCAAAAAGGGAGCCAGCGGTCATCTAGCCTGACCCCGAATTTCAGCATATTCAGGGCAAAAAGGGAGCCAGCGGTCATCTAGCCTCACCCCGAATTTCAGCATATTCAGGGCAGGGCAAAAAGGGAGCCGGCGGTCATCTAGTCTGACCCCGAATTTCAGCTCTGAAATATCAGCATATTAGCAACTGTGCATGACGGGGGATTTCAGCAGGTGTTGCTCCCTCTTCTACTCAGCTTCTAAAGGTGCAGGAGCTCTGCCAAACAATTCCACAAGTTATACTTTCTCTGGCCTAGCCTGAGATTCCTTCTGACTCCCCTAAGCCTATCACAAATCAGTTCCTTTCTGGGATCCGACTTTGAGCTTTATGGAAACAGAAACAGAAATAAGGGAATAGAAAAGAAAATGACATGTAGTGCAATGCTATAAGCATCTGCTTAGCAGTGAGCCCACGAAATTCAATGTGGCTAAGTAACTGTGCACATGCACAGCTTGAACGTTGGGTACCCAGGTGGAAGGGAGAATGGTATGAAGTGTTGTGGAGGAAGACATGGCTGGCTGACTTCAATAGTGAAGCAAAGCACTCCACACTGCAGCATTTTGTTACAGGACCCTCTTCTCAGGGCTAACAGTTGCTGATCTCCATGAACCTGTTGAGCGCCCTCTGAAATCTCTGTAAGGCAAGTGGCTTTCACTGCGGCTGACTCCATAAAAGTATGCATTGTGTGAGGAACAGCTTTCTTTTGTCTGTCATTAATCTACCGCCAAGCCAGTCCCACTGGGTAAATAAGATCTGTCTCGAGGCAACCAGTCCAGAAAGCTTCTGTAAAAGAGAAGTGTGTGTGTGTTCTGATATATCCTCTCAGGTTCTAGGTGCATCAAAAATGGATGATAGGTGGGAACCTTTTCCAGCTAAGGGCCACATTCCCTTCTATATAACTCTCCAAGGGCCACATGCAAATGTAAGTGGAGCAACAAGTGTGACTTTTAACTCTGTACACTAGGCTACTTTCTATACACACGCAGATTCCAGTTCCCTTCAGCTACAGCCAAGCATGATCAATAGTTCGAGATTAGGGTAGTTGTTATCCCAAAACTACATCTGAAGGGCACAAATTCTCCACCCCTGATTTAAAGGATTCCTTCCACATGTTTGGGTGCCAGGGATTGCCTACTTCTGTTATTGTAGATTTTATTTATTAATTATTATTATTATTATTATTATTATTATTATTATTTTATTGACCTATTTTGCGAACTACTCTGGGACAGATACTATGAAGAGTAGCATATAAATCTTCTAAATAAATGAATAGATTACCCTTTCTTTTCATTTAAATTGCGACAATTATAAACAGTTTAAGGTGGCATTGTAGAGGGACAACTGGTCACCTTGGACCAGCTGCTATTTTTCTTTCAGTCTAGCCTACCTCACAAGGTTGTTATGCTGATGAAATGGGGGGGGGGTCGGAATGGGGAGGAGTCTTGCATGCTGCCCTTCGCTCATTTGAGAAAGGATGGAGGGGTGGATATAATAAATAAATGAGAAGTACTTAGCTGCTTCAGTCAATCATATATTTGCTTAACAGTACTCCAGCTGCTTCAGACAATCATATGTTTCATAGAATCATAGAATTGTAGTGTTGGAAGGTACCTCAAGGGTCACTGAGTCCAACCCTCTGCAATGCAGGAATCCTGTGCACAGCTATCCCTAGGTGGGCTTGAACCACCAAACTTCTGGTTAACAGCAAGATGCACTGACCCATTGTGCATTTGCTTCAATTGTATATCTGCTTAATAAAGCAAGTCTTTCCCCAATGCATGAAGCCCCTCTGCATCTCCCTTCACTCAAAATGCAATTAAAACATGAAACCTTTAATTAACCATAGCTTTTATCCGAACCAAGAATCTATATTTAGCAGCTTCAGCACATAAGAAACCAACTTCAAGCCACAATTTAAGATCTAGGCTTGATCCAAAACCAGCAATTATATGGAACAGGGGAAGCTGCCTTGTACCGAGTCACAGCACTGGTCCACCTAGCTCAGTACTGTCAACACTGACCGGCAGCAGCTCTCCTCGGTTTCAGGCAGAAGTCTCTCCAGGAACTACCTGAAGATGCCTGGGACCTTGTGCATAGAATGCAGATCCCTTACCATTGAGCCATGGCCTTGGGAAACCACAGTTTCCCAGTCTGGACAAACTGGGCAACTATGGTTAATTGAAGGCTTCTTGGTTTGTTTGGTCACAGTGCAACAGAAGGATCTAAGGGTCTGTAAAAGGATCTTGCGAATGTTGCTCTTATGTAGAAAATTCTAAGCCTTTCACATTTGCTAAAAATGGAAAGCGTTGTGAAAAGTCATTGTTGACTTATGCTTTAGTACTCTCTTGTTTCCCTCCCCTTTCTTTCTAAAATTCAGCAGCATGTTAGCAAAAAGAAACCTACCCAGCACCTGCACTTTTTACTCTAAGCCACGAGGACCCATGCCCAAGCATGCATACTATACCTTTCAGTTCGCTAATAGGTCAACCAGGAGCAAAGGGAAAGAGGGAGACAAAGGGATACAGTTAGGGTGAACAACAAAGAAGATGCTGCAAATTTACATTTTTGCAAGGATGCTTTTAAAATGAAGAAAGAAGCAACTTAACACATATCTCAGTTCTATGTATATTTAGTGAAAATTAAGTCCCAGTTAATTCAACGGGTCTTACTCCAAGTTAAGTGTGTGCAATATCCTAACTTAATAATAATAATAAAGGTTTCTGCCTGGTAAATCCAGGCAGAAAGACCAGAGAGGAAATGTTGGAGGCTGCAGGAATCAGCCTGAGCTGGGAGTGTATTGTGGAGTAACAGCACCATCTAGTGGCTTAAAATGACCTAACACTTCTCCTCTGCCAGCTGTATAGCTAAGGGCAGAACTACATGTTACAAGGCAAATGTAGTAGACAAGGAAGGGCCATAACTCGGGAGTGGAGCATCTGCTTTGCATGCAGAAAGTTTCAGACTAAATACCTGGCATCCCCAGGTAGGGATACAAGAGGCACTGCCAGTCCATGAGGACAATATTGAGCTAGATGCGTCAAAGGCAGTATTAAGAACCTCCCTGCTTTCCTATAACAAGCTTCCAAATCTATAAATTGATGTGCATTTAGAGAGCATCTGCAGGGGAAAACTGGTGGGTGGAACAGGGTGTGCTTGATCCTCCCCTCCATTGCAGTGTCTCCCACAAGCCCTGCTTCCCAGGCTGTTTTTCATTGGATGCATGAAACAACACAGGTACAGTTACTCAGGGTCAAGCAAACTGCAGCCTTCCAGATGTTGCTGGACTCCAGCTCCCATCAGCCCCAGGAAGAATGGCCAACGGTAGGGGATGATGGGAGCTGCAGTCCAACGGTGGGCTACAGGTTCTCCAACCTTGCTCTAAAGCAACAATTCCTTTGTGGCAAAGGATGCCACATGGCAAATGTAAGGACTGGTACCATTCTAGTGCAATGGTGGCGGTCTGCTTTGCTCATTACTAGAACCCCAAGGCTCAACAGCTGGGCTACAGATGCAAAATGGTGGTGCCAACTCTCTGCTATTGTCCATGAGCCATAAAGGTAAAGGTAAAGGGACTCCTGACCATTAGGTCCAGTCGTGGCTGACTCTGGGGTTGCGGTGCTCATCTCGCTTTATTGGCCGAGGGAGCTGGCGTACAGCTTCTGGGTCATGTGGCCAGCATGACTAAGCAGCTTCTGGCGAACCAGAGCAGCGCATGGAAACGCCGTTTACCTTCCCACAGGAGCGGCACCTATTTATCTGCTTGCACTTTGATGTGCCTTTGAACTGCTAGGTGGGCAGGAGCTGGGACCGAGCAACAGGAGCTCACCCGTCACGGGGATTCGAATTGCTGACCTTCTGATCAGTAAATCCTAGGCTCTGTGGTTTGCACTTGCAAATTTAAGGCACAGCAAGTTATGAACTATACAGTCTGATTCAAACATTTTTCTTAAGGCAAGCCTATCCAAACACATATATGTTGATGTGCTTTAAACTCTTGTTAAGTTTACAGCTGGTTTTAATTGCATTTTAGCTACTTGATTTTAACTGTTTTTATTGATATTTTTTCTTGTAAACCACTCGGAGCTTTTGTTCTAATCAACTGGTAAAGAAATTGTTAAATAAATAAAGCCCCATTTTACACCTAGGAAATCCTGAGACTCCGAGATAAAACCTGCTGGTTGGATCAGTCAAATCAGAAAACCTGGCTGATCCCCTGTAAACAACTCAAAGGTCTACCAATACATCTACCTTCTAGTTCCAGAATCTAGCACATAGTGCTAAATATATGCACACAGTCCCAGGTATGATTTTCCCTCCCGTCCTTTAAGCAGACAACAGTGCAGCCCAGAAGAGGTGTGATCGCCTCATCTATGGGCCCTCTTGCTCCCAATATGCGACAACCTTTCCGCTGCCTATGCCACTAGAGCGGAGGTTGCCAATGTGGTGCCCGTTGACCTTCCCTGATGCCAGCAGGATCCTCTCCCTCCAATGAAATTAGGTGTGAAAGAAGCGGTCTGCTGTAGTCATCAGAACAGGTTGCAACATGTGCTTGGTTGTGGGGGTGTGGTGCCCACAAGAGCTTTTGCAAATGTGCCTACAGTCCCCCACCAAAGGTTGGCAACCACTGAGCAAGAGGCTGGTGTGTTGCATACCCCAGTTCTAGAGGAATATAGTAGCCCTAAATTCCATACCTGCATTTTCCTCTTGACTGTTTCAAAAGGGAAAGAAAGTGTCTGTGCAACCCCAGCAGCCAGGCAGCCATTCACAAAGTTCTGCACAGGAGTGAAGCGGATGCTGGGCTGACCCCAGATTTTATCCAGATGTGTGTAAACGAGGAAAGAGCCGATGGAAAATGGGATAGCACCTGTCATGAAAAGCAAGCAAGCAAATGAGACTTGTGGAAGTTGTTAGGTGCTTACTGATACAAATTGCTATGCCGGTTCAGATCAAGAAACCACCTAGCTCAACATCCCATCTGGTAACGCTGGCCAATCAGATGCCTCTGAGAAGTTTGCAACGCAGGGTGTGATGGGAATATCTTTCTCCTGCAATAATTTCTGCTTCCAGAAAATGGAAACATAAAAAGTGTGTTTGCACCCAGGGGCTGCTTTTGGGGCTTCCCACAGTCATTTAGTTGGCCACAGTGAGAACAGAATGCTAGACTACATAAGACTTTGGTTTGATCCAGCAGGATTCTTTTGATGCTCTTTTGTAGCAGAAGTTGCTGATTAACATGTGCTTACTGCCCTGGAAATGTCATTAACTCCAAAGTCTGATTGCATTTCTGTTAAGGCTAAAACAGAAAAGCATTGTACTACACACAATGTAAGGTGCAAATATTCTTTTGGGATATATTTGGTTTTCTAAAACATTTGGACTATAAAAGCCAAAGTAGGTGAGGCACCAAGGTCATCACTGGCAATTGAATGGGTCTTTTAAAAACCATATACTTAACCTCCGGTTAAGTAATCCTCTGGTTACGTAAACTTCAGGATGCGAAAGCGGCAAACCCCAAAGTATTTGATTGGGTTTTGCCACGCACGCATGCGCAGAAGGGGTCCTCAGGTAGTGGAAACCTCAGGATCCGTCCGGACTTCCAGAACGGATCCCGTCCACAACCAGAGGTACCACTGTATAGTATCTGCTGTTGGGTCCAATCAGAATCTGTATTGCAGATTGTGTGCATTGCCTCTTTTTTCCTTGCTACATTTGGTCATGGGAAAATTTATGCCTCTCAGTCATGATCCTCCATCTGTAATATCAGAAGAATTGGATCTCCTCACATCGTTTTGGGGAGGATGAATGACTGAGAACGCAGTTAACAGCACATTGCTGATACACCAGTTTTGCAGGCAATAGACTGAGATCTGACACAAGCGATTTTTAAAAAAGGGGGCTTGTCTTATTGCACTTCAAAATTTAATGCTGCCTTTTATTGTTTTATTGATTGAACTGACAGCTGTATTTTAACGTCTTTTTGTTAGAAGCTGCCCAGAAAACAGGTGGCACAGAAAATACTGTAAGTAAAATACAGTGGTACCTCGGGATGCGAACGGGATCCGTTCCAGAGCCCCGTTCGCATCCTGAATGGAATGTAAGATGCAACGGCGCGTCTGCGCGTCACAACATTTTTAGCGTCTGCACATGCGCGAGTGGCGAAACCTGGAAGTAACGTGCTCCATTACTTCTGGGTTGCCACGAAGCACAACCCAAAAGCGCTCAACCTGAAGCACATTCAACCCGAGGTATGACTGTAACTAAAAAGCACTGACTTTCAGTCACTACTCCAACCCCAATGTTATAGGAAAAGGAATGCAGTCTCACGATACCTAATACTGACAGTGAAACACCACGATAAAGTGCAGCGACGCCTTCTTGATGATAAATCATGTACAAAGCATGCAGAATTCCTTTGTAGGAGGGCTCCAACCGGTTCTGTACAATGAGACGGGTTTTGACGACTTCGGTTGGGTATGTTGCAACAGCAGCCACCATGCCAGCCAAACTTCCAGCCATGATCGAACCCCACTGGGAGATGTGGCCCAAATCATCCACAAACAGCAAGACAAACCTGGTATGATATATGGGGGTGGGGATATCACAAGTCAGTTACACAACATAGATAAAAGCCAGTGATTCATTTGTAACACTAAATCATGGTTTGTTTAAGCCACTGCTTAACAAACCATGAGTTAACCAAAGAAACCATGGCTTCCCCCCATTTGTTTCATTTTTAGTGGCTCTTGCCTTGTACCTTTGTAGTTTGGCCACCCCACCCCAGACAATAATCAAAAAGGCCTTCTGCGAACTTTCCATTCAATGCAAGTTTCAGTTCTGATGAATTCCTGATTAGCTTAAGTCTGAAATAAGGAGAACTTCTCTTCCAACACAAAAGTGGTAGGCCTACTACGCATGTGTGAAGTCTGGCTAATAGAAGGCAAAAAAACCTCCTCAGCTGCCTAAGATTATCTAAAACAGGTTTAATTTATTTCTGTCTTTCTTTTAAAAGAAATCAGACTTGATTTACAGCTCTCTCTTCAGCACCACACCCCGGAAGCTACATCTAACTCCCACCACTGGGGGAAATATAGAAAACCTTCATCCTATTATCTGATTCAACACCAAAGGGGAAAAATAAGTTCTGTTTTTGGGCACAGAATGAAGCTTATAATGAAAGTCTGTATGTTGCACAGGGCAAGAATTAGTTTTGGAACCCACTTTCTGCATGGAAAATACATTTTGTGGACAGTTAACCATACTTTATCTTTTAGGTTTCAGAGTTAGACAGTTAAAAAACAAACACCTCCAGAATGCTACACTGTTCCACACACCTTCCTAGAGACAGGGAGGAAATTGGACATCAGCTGGACCATTCAGAGCGCCCTTTAACTACCGGTATTCCTCTGACTCTTCAGTCCACCCCTCTGATTGGTTAATACTATAAAGATTTTTTTTATTTTTGAAGTCATTCTTACTCGGACCTCCGTGCATCTTTACGCGGAAGTCTCACTGTGTTCAACAGAGCTTAGTTAGGTGAAAATAAGACTGAAGTTTACTGGAGTCCCCTCCCCTTCCACGAGCCTGTAGAAATGGAAAAACGCTGGGCAGCCACAACGAACTGCAGGAATTATTAACCCTTGGAGAGCCGTGTCCCCGCGCCACGCCATTGCTTTGGTATCAACTGGTTGGGTCCGAAAGCCGAGGGGGGTTTTCAGCCCGGCTTACCTGCGGTAAGAGGCCAGTTGTAGGGCGCTGTAGGGAAAGAGGCGCAAACAGGCGGTGAGGTTGCCCTTCCAGAGGGCCCCAATGCCTTCGGCCTTGCATAAGCTGCGCCCCGTCTCCCAGAGCCCTCGCCGCGAGTGGTGAGTGCCAACTTGGGCCAGGACGGTGAAAACTTCCAGAGGCGCCGTCAGGCTGTGGCTCAGCGCCCCGGCCAGCCCGGCGCAGCTGAGCCGCTGCAGAGCGGTGAGCCGACTGTCCCGCTTCCAGGTCGCCATGCCGCCCGGGCGGCGGCTGCACCATGCCCGCTGCGGGCCGGGCAACTAGCGAGGAGGACGCATAGCGACGCATACCCGGCAGTCCAGCCCCTGTGTGCGCTACGCAAGGCCGTCGCGGGGCGGTGCCAACTTGGTCTGGAGACGGGAAGGGGAGGGAGAGCTGACCCTCTGAGGCTGGAGAGGGGTCGATGCAGGTGACTGATGCCCGATTGTCCGTGCCCAGGAGCCCGGAGCGCGCGTGGCTCGGGGAGTTTAGTTCTAGCGCCAGGGCTGTCTTAAGCATATCCGGCGCTGTGGTGCAAAGAACCCTCCTGCGCCCCCCTTTTCCCTAAGTTGTCAACGGGGGGCCCCTGTAGCAGGAACCCCCCCAATCATTCAGTTTGTACAAACTTCACTCACACACTACATACGCTACGCTTCTGTTATAAATTCATAGAAAATCAACCATACATCGGATTTGCACCGTTCCACTTTTTATTTTACTCCATGAAGGAAGGACTACAAAATGGGGAAGGTTTGATACAGGCCAGCCATACTCCCTTCACCATCCCAGCACATCCACAGGAGCCCTGCCCAGTTGCTATGCCAACCCTGATGGTCCTAGACAGAAGACAATCAAGATCACAAAGAACTTGCATATGGGAGTGGATTCAGCATGGACTGAAACAAAGGACAATGATCAGATCTTCCCTCAGGGGGCAGGAAACTGCGACTACCTTTTGTCATCAGAAAATGACTCATGGGGAGGGGGAAAGGAGGAACCAGCCAGGTGACAGGACCCTCAGGTTACCACCACAACTCCTCCCTCAACCCCTCCTTTCTGTAATGTATGCATGATGTTTCTGGGGGTGGGCTTGAGCTACAGGAGGGAAATTTCAAAAGTTTTTATAAGGTCTGGCACACCATCTTTCTGGGTCTTTCCTCTCACCTGCAAGTGAGAGGAGCACCCTGTCGCGACAATCTTTCTTCAATAAAGACCAAGCCTACAGGCTGCTGATTTGCTTCAATTTACTCTGGTTGGTGTCTTTACTTTTTGTCCAAGGGAGCCCTCGGATTTTTCCGGTAACTGCCCCAAAGTTGCTGACCTTTTTAAAGGGAGCTGACACCACGCTTACACATTATCTCTGCTTGGGAAAAGAAAACAGGAAACATAACCTTTTTTTTTTTTAGTTGCTTATTTATTAACTATGCACCTATATACACACTTATATAGTCTCAGATGCATGTGGGCCAGCCAAAATCTGACAAGTCACTCCTGGTCTTAAATTGTCCGAGCAAAATGGCATCGCTTAACCTGGCACCAAACTGAGGGAAAAAATGCTGAACTTAGATATACCTCTGTCAGTAAAGCATGAGACTCTTAATCTCAGGGTTGTGGTTTCAAACCCCATGTTGGGCAAAAGTTTCCTGCATTGCAGGGGGTTGGACTAGATGACCCTGGTGGTTCCCTTCCAACTGTGTGAATGGTTCTGTTATTCTGTTGTAACTGAAGGGCTGTTCATGTCAGCATCGCCCTTGAGCCAGTGCCACCAACTGGACTCATCCACTTCAGCCCCGACTGGGCTAGGCGAGCTGGGTAGCACTTCCAGAGACCACATTCTGCACAGGAACAGGTCAAAGTGCTGTGGACTCACAGCGTAGAGTTGTGAGCACCAGATTCACTTCCACTAGAAGACAGTCATCGCATAGCAGAGTACAGCAGGGCATAAACGACTCGGAGAGCAGCTCTGTAGAATATCTTCTTTATTCTATCTACAACTATAATACACAAACTATATACAGAGCTAAATGAGATGAGGTCTAAGCAAAATGAATGCTGAACTGCACTGAGTGCCTGCAGCTGCTCTTAGCAGCAATCTTATCTATACACACAATCTCTAACACTCAGTCTCTCTCTCTCCCCCCCCCCCTGACTGACTGACTCTTTGATGTTAGGCTGGGGTGGAATAAGTAGAGAGCAGAACACAGCCCCCTCCTCTCTGGAAAATCACCAGACTTATCAGGAGATTCTTGGATATGGGAGGGGTGAAATCTCCTCAGTTCACAGGGAAGATGGAGCAAATGTGTTTTGTGAGAGATGCTTGTTCCTGCACTGGAGGGGTTTGGTCTAGAGGACCCTTGGAGATCCCTTCCAACCATCCAGTTCTGTGATACTTTGATTAAAATACTCCAAGAAATAAATAAACAGGCTCCCCTGTGGCAGTCACTGGAAAGGGCTCCAGGGGCGGCCAACCCACAGAAAGTTTGGTATGTGCCCTGTAGCCCAAGCCCCATTCACCAGGTGAGACCCGGTGAACCGAAGGAGCGCTCCGCAGTGGCAAAGGGGCTGCCCAGGAGAGCTTGAGTACGTGACTGCACGCCTGAGGGATCATGGCGGGAACTGATGGGGTTTGAAGTCCTTGGCCAAAGGTATTAAAGGGCATTGGAATGAAGCAAATCGGTGGAACTAGTGACTTTATATGAATTCCCAAAGTTTTGAGGCTTTTTCCTAAAGTCGACAGGTTTTGGAAATACTCTGACATCATCCAGGTTATGATAGAGTTAAGAAGTTAATGAGGAGGTTTTGGTGGACTCAGTCCATTGTTCTCCCAGCATCAATCAGGTGCACCTGGGATGAGGAATGACCCGGGTGCTGCAGAGCGGAACAGGGTCCTAGTGCCTCCGACGGGCGCTGGAGGCGTCCAGGCACCAAGCCCCTGCTCCGCCTTACTTACCTCCCTGCTCTCCCCTCCCCGGACTCTCCGCCTGGTGCCCTCCACTGCTTGGTGCCCTGGCTCACTGCGCCACTATTCCCAATGGTAAAGACGTCCCTGTCCAACACCCACAGCCGTGACAGAGCTGAAGGGATTGCGTGGGTGGCACCGATGCCAGAGGGGTCTGGCAGCAAATAGGGGAGATCCTAAGAATGTCACTACACAAACACACATATACACACACATCCTGGTTGGCATTCGTCTGTCTCGGGAGACAACGGAAGAGTGTGCCTTTGTGGGCAGAGTTAAACCGTAGGGTTACAGCGCCTGCTGTGGCTGTAGAGACTGATATGGGAGAGACGGGAGCGCCACTTGGCCCCACGACCATGGGTGCCCAGGGCTGTGGGTGCCATGCAGCATGCATGGCCCTGGCACAAAAAATTGTGGGTGCCTGGTCCCTTCATGGGGGAATTTTGTGGGTGATCAGGCACCCAGGGCCCCATGGAGTTGGCACCTATGGGGAGAGATGTTTTGATGCAGCTGGGGCTGATGAAGGCATCGGGTTGTGCTGATATAGGTGTACCATACAAATATGTGTGTGTAGTCTCACACACCCAGAGAGAGACACATATTATATATATTATACATACATTTATATCAGGGGTGTCAAACTCAAATTCATCGGGGGCCGCATCAGCAGTTTGGTCACCCTCAAAGGGCCGGTTGTATCTGTAGGACTTACAGTACAGGAGAGAAGGGTTCAGGCAGCCGTTGGATCTGTCACATCACAGGATGGCATGCGCTCAATATTAAAACAAGTGGAGGTTTCCTGAATGCATGTAAAGTGGAGGTTTCCTGTGTAGAACGGCCGGCACCGCTAGAGGGCAGACGTTCTCTGGCTTGTAGGCTGCCGCGCATGCGCTGAAGAGGCGGCTTTCTTGTGTCAAAAAAAAAAAAGCGAGAATAAAAGGTGAAGGCTGGCGGCCGGCGGCGGCTACACGGGCCACATGACGAGGTCTGGCAGGGCCGGATTCGGCCCGCGGACCTTGTGTTTGACACCCGTGATTTATATCAAGCCTTCTCTCCAAAGAGCTCAAGGTTGTGTGCATGGTTCTCTTCCTCCCTGTTTCATCAACAACGACCCCAAGGTAGGTTAGGCAGAGAGGCAGGGACTAGCCCAAGGTCACACAGTGAGCTGTTCGGTTGAGCGGGGGTTTGAACCCTGGTCTCCCAGGCCCTAGTCCAACACTCTAACCACTGTACCATATTGTCTCTCTTAAATACATTCTGCTACTAAAAAAAAAAAAAAAGACCCACAGTCACAACTGTAATACTTCAACATGCACCAGAGGCTTAAGTGAGATGAATGTCTGCACTACCTACGTATATTCTTAAGTGGTACAGATTAGGCACAAGTTGGCCTCAAAGAGAATAGACCCTGCAAGTACAGAGAACAGGACAGATCAGCAACTTTGAAGAAAACGGGTTAGAATCTTCCTTGCTCCAACTCCAGCAGCACATTCCAGAATAATATTGCTCTTCTGTGCTGTCCACATTGCCGTAGCAATTAAGCAATTCCTGCTCACTTTGGTGTGCCTGCATATCAGTAGATCAGGCCATGCAAGTTGGAGTTAACCCTTTATTAGCAAGAACACAATCAGCACAGATTTGGTGGACTGTTGGGCCTAATGAACACAGGAGCTCTGCCTCTTTGATCAGCTGTCAAGACCGAAAGGCCCTGCGTCCCCACAGCTGTCTATGTCTCCTCCTCTCCAGGGCTTTTACCAACTCTCCTTTGTCCTTTTCATGCCTCTTTTGGTTTTGGGTGACCAGGGGGCAGGAAAGCTTGTTGCAGCAGCTAGGAGATGTCGAGGTTCCTTTAATTGCTGTTAGGAAAAATCTGCTGTACGGTGTGAGACGTGGTACCCTTATTTTGCACCTGCAGGTCTCCTGATCAGTGTTTGAAGGTCACTGTGACCTGGCAACAATTTTGGCACTGCACCAACGAACTACTGCAGGGGTCAGCAAACTTTTCCAGCAGGGGGCCAGTCCACTGTCCCTCAGACCTTGTGGGAGGCTGAACTATATTTTGAAGGGGAAAAATGATCCAATTCCTATGCCCCACAAATAATCCAGAGATGCACTTTAATTAAAAGGACACATTCTACTCATGTAAAAACATGCTGATTCCTGGACCGTCCACGGGCCAGATTTAGAAGGCGATTGGTCCGGATCCGGCCCCCGGGCCTTAGTTTGCCTACTGCACTAGTTCTGGAGCCCCACTAACAGGTAAAGGTAAAGGTAAAGTTAAATTGCAACAAATAATTATTTATGGATTGAGTGGAAGACCAAACCCCGGGAAAGTTCTGTAAACTTAATTAAACTGGATTTTGGTT